ACATGAATCATCAAACTTAGTCTTCTTGTTCTGACTCCATACTCATCAAACATCCTTCAGATTTTCATTTGTCTTTCTTAGCTCTCTATAGGAAGAAAATGCACTGTTCATCTAAACATTTTCATGTGATATTTTAAATCAATTATTATAAAAGAATAAGTAGTGTTCTGATTTTATCCAATAGCTTTGAAAGTTTGGTTACTGTGAGTTTATCCCTAAGACATAGATCTATTCTAGGTAAGCTAAAACATCAAGTTTTGAAGCCTGAAACCCTGAGGGAGAAACCTAGCATAAATTTACCAAGATAATCAATCTATGACACCTTAGGAGGGCTTCTGGGAACCAGCATGCCAGCTTTCCTTAGGAAATCATGCTGAGGCCAGGCACAGTGGGTCTTGCCTATAATCCCAGCACTCTGGGAGGCTGAGGCAGGAGGATCACTTGAGGCCAGGAGTTCAAGACTAGCCTGGACAACATCACAAGATCCCATCTATAAAAAAAATTTTAAAAATCAGCCAGACATGGTGGTGCACACCTACAGTCCTAGCTACTCGGGAGGCTGAAGAGGATCACATGAGCCCAGGAGTGTGAGGTTGCAGTGAGCTATGATCATGCCACTGCACTCCAGCCTGGGTGACAGAGAAAGACCCTGTCTCAAAAAAAAAAAAAAAAAAAAAGGAAATCAGCTTGATGTGAGAACTATATGCTTTCTTTGAATTTTTTAGCCAGTGGAAGCAGAAGATATAGCAGTTAAAAGGCCATGCTATAGAGTAGGCAGACCTGGGTTCCACCACTTCTCCAATGTGGGTGAATAATGTGCACATTTTGGACACATTATTTAACCTCTCTAATGCCTCAGTGTCCTCATCAACATAGTGGCAACAATAATACTCCTGACTCATTGTATTGTTTAATACACACAGGGTATTTAGTAAAGTGCCAAGAACATAGCAAATATTCAATAATGTTAGGAAAAAATAAGAAGTTAAGTTTTAAGCCTATAAAATTAAGATAATTAATGTTGGTTCCAATTTGCTCCAAAAATATTGGGAAAGTAGTATCTAGAACTCAGCTGTCCGGCAACCTCAGCTGGAATACTGTTGAATAGCAGAAATTAAGTCCCGAAGGCCATAAGCCCCAAACAATGTCACAAAATACTCATGCCCAATACAGCTCACACACTTACTCATAAAATAGGCTCTCACAGTTTTTTTCAATGTATTTACCATTTATAAACATTCTTAAAAGTTTGCTATCTGGCTCAGCCTGTAGCTGTTTAAATTTGTACATTATGAGGGCTAAGAAGACACAGCACACATGGATGGCTGCTAGGTACTAGACACTATAATCTGACAACAGAAGTGAAGACCAAAAATATACATACACACACGAATGAAAAAGCAGAATAATCTATAGCCATCAGTTGGTCAAAGAATCCTACACACAGAAAGAGGTTCTAAAATAATTGCTGCACGGCATATAGAAGGAAAAAAAAATCTGTCTAAAATGCATTCTCTTGCTTGCCTTCTTAAAGAAGTAAATGAAAGAATGTGTGCAACAGTGCTTTGGGAAATGTAAAATTCAAAATACAAATATGTTCTTTTTTTCCCGCAAGGTCCACATCCATCTTGTTTATTGCGGTATATGCCCTAGCACAGGGCCTGACACAGCACAGATACCCAATTAATATTGGTTGAATAATGAATAAGAGCAACTTGAACTTCTTTCAATAATTCATAGTCATTATTATGGAAAAATATTACTGAACTATGCTAGAATTCAGTGCAACTCTAAAAGGCTATGTGGCATATAGGACTATTTGCCCCTCTATAAAGTGGCAATTCTCTTGGGTTTCCTTAGAATTTTTATATATTTCATAGTTTTTCACCTCCCTATTGGGTGTTAAGAAATGATTCTTCAAATAATGGGAAAAGCTAAATTAAAGAAATTAACAAATTAACAAATTAACCAGGGTATTATTAGTCTCACACTCCAAACTGCATGCCCTAAAAGTACACCAATCATTTTAAGCTCCTAAGCAAAGATTTTATAATCTTTGCGACCAAAGTGTTCAGCCTTTGCTCAAGTTTCCTACACTGGCCCAAGATCCAGTGAAGGGACTAACATTGTAAAATTAATCTCTTCTTGTATATTTGATATCATACTCCCTCTTTGGTCTTCCGAACAAATCCAATGACTCCCTTTTCTTTCAAATGTGTATCTGAATCTCCTTTTGGGTATATATTTACCTTGTTTACTGTGACTTGCCTAGCTTTCAAACTCTATATATGAATCTCTTTAAGAATGGGGAATGTTAGGTAGATAGTGAGGGATTCTGGGATTCTGGGTCTCCTAGGGATGAAAGTGGGTGCTGTTGCCCCCATCTTGGTCCTGTCCAACCCTAATTCTCCATCCCTGGGGGAGGAGGGAATACCCTTCGAATCTGCCAACTTGGTGCACCAGCTGGAAAAGAATGCAGAGGACTCTCTAGCTCACAGGCCAAGCAGCATGGGTTCCATAAAGTCTGGAAAGTGACCTAGCACCCACATGTGTAGTTAAGGCTCAGGTCCTGTGACTCCCAACTGCCCAAAGAGGTTCCATGGTGACCTCTGAACCATGAGGGAGGTCCCTATCCAGGCACTATAAAATAAGACATAGACCATAGTCAATCTCTCTCTTTGCCCTTCCTTTGGCTCTTCCTTTGCTGCGACAATGGGTCTGGTTGTCATCTGTGGCGTATGTATTCTGCTCTGTAAACCTACATCTTGCTCTTGCCCTATAAACCTATCTTTCTTTTCTCAATAAACCTCACTGTCATACTTACCTAACAAAAAAAAGAATCTCTTTACAAATATATTTTTGACTTCCTTTACTGTCACTTTCCTTTTTCTAAATATATACTTGAATCATTTTTCAAATATGCATTATTAATATTAGCCTTCTGAAGTTGGTTTACTTATGAGTACAAAAGCCTCCCTCTGTGGATCTCAAAATAATTTCTGGAAAGGTATATACAAGGAAATCTTAACTTATACAAGAAAGAATCTATAAAATTGAGGTATAAGAACTAAAGTGTAGCTAGTCGTCACTCCCTTTATTTCTCCTACAGGCAGATCTCTAGTAAATAGCAAAATCCATATTTATTTATTTTTTATTTATTTATTTTTTTTGAGACAGAGTCTCACTCTGTTGCCTTGGCTAGAGTGAGTGCCGTGGCGTCAGCCTAGCTCACAGCAACCTCAAACTCCTGGGCTCAAGCGATCCTCCTGCCTCAGCCTCCCAAGTAGCTGGGACTACAGGCATGCACCACCATGCCCGGCTAATTTTTTCTATATATTTTTAGCTGTCCAATTAATTTCTTTCTATTTTTGGTAGAGACGGGGTCTCGCTCTTGCCCAGGCTGGTCTTGAACTCCTGAGCTCAAACAATCCGCCCGCCTCGGCCCCCAGAGTGCTAGGATTACAGGCGTGAGCCACTGCGCCTGGCCTCAAAATCCATATTTAAAATCATTCCACATCTGTTGACTTTTCCCCACTAAAATGAAGTACTTTGTCCATTAAGCTACATACCACAAATAGAAAGCGTGGCACATCCTGCCATCCCCAATTCCATCTGGCTATGGCAAACGTCAACAATTAATTAGTATTTTTTCCTGCTGAGCCTAGATGGAGCTTAAGAACCCTTTACAATAAAGTGCCTCAATTGATGGGCTTAGCTCAGATTTTAGTTGCTATTTTGTTACTATTCAGGCCATGGTTATATTGTTTAACAAATATATATGAATGATGATATTAAAAATGATGCTTATATCCACAGCCAATCCAAAGGAACGGCCCAGTCAGGGCATGTGTTTATAGCACCTACCTGGGCACTACTGTCACCTGAACTATCCTCAGAGCTCTGAAACCGAAGGAGACTCTGATTTATACGGTTCAGCTCTTCTCTAAGCCTCACAACTTCCTCAGGCCTCATGGTCAACTGCTGTTCTTCATCTTTCACATCTTGATTCTGCTGTGAGTCCTCCTTCTTGTGCCCCTTTCTTGGACAACTGCCCTCCTTTACCGACTCCTCTGGAATTTCCTTCTGCTTACTCTCTCCTAATTCAGGACTTGGTACAAACATAACAATAAAAATCTATCAAAATGCTGATTATAGTAATAGAATAGGGAGGAAAAACCTACAAGTCAAGAAAGTTCCGTAAGCAAGATTTTCAACTTGAATTCTATAGCAGAGCAGTCATCTTAGTCTTATAAATAAACTTTAAAAACAAATGAGTCATACTTTTTACTAACATTCAGGGAGATGAACCATCATAGATTTTTTTCTTCTTTTTTTGAGACAGAGTCTTTCTCTGTCACCCTGGCAAGAGGAGGGGATGTACCTTCAATGGCTACAGAGTGTGGATGAAAATGAGAAAGAACACAAACATGCTGATTTTGTTTTTATTCTCTCAATCTTAAATTTTGTTCAGGTACCTTGAAGCCTAGCACAGCATGCTTCGCAGATTATAGTTAGTGCCCAAATTCTTTTTTTTTTTTTAGACAGAGTCTTGCTCTGTTGCCCGGGCTAGAGTGCTGTGGCATTAGCCTAGCTCACAGCAACCTCAGACTCCTGAGCTCAAGCGATCCTTCTGCCTCAGCCTCCCAAGTAGCTGGGACTACAGGCATGCACCACCATGCCCGGCTAATTTTTATATATATACATATATTTTTAGTTGTCCAGATCATTTCTATTTTTTAGTAGAGACGGGGTCTCGCTCTTGCTCAGGCTGGTCTTGAACTCCTGACCTTGAGTGATCCACCCGCCTTGGCCTCCCAGAGTGCTAGGATAACAGGCATGAGCCACCGCGCCTGGCCAGTGCCCAAATTCTTTAAGAAGGCAATTTGGCAATACAGATAATAAGCCATAAAAATGTTCAGACTCCTTGCTAATTGCATACCAATGAATTTGCTGCAATAAAATAATTCATAAGAAGAAAAAAGTCGAATATACAATAATGCTAATAGAATATTATTTAAAATAGTAACTAAATGGAGCAGGAAAATGGCTAAAAGGACTAAAGATAATTTGGCTTGAAAGTGATATAAAGACTATTCGCCAACATGAAAAATACTTATCAAAGTAAAATTGTGGAACAAAAGGACAATATATACGTATGTGTGTATACACATAGCTACTATAAGAAGGTGTATATTTAGAAAAATCTGGAAAAAAATAGAGAAAAATTGTGTCTAAGGAGTGTTTTTTCCTTCTAAAATTCCTCTAACACTATATAGAAAAAAATTAAATATTTTATTTTGAATTCAGCAGTTTTTAAAAGGTAATACATTCAAATGATACAAAACAGTACGAAATAACATGTGGAAGCCAAACACATGTTAAGATTGAGAAAATGCAAACATATACCTCGTATTTTTTAAAATAGAGAAAATGGATTTTTTTTCCATGAAGATGAAGTAGACATACTTTATCTCTATTTTTCCCACTAAGTACAACTCAAACCTCTGAACATTATATATAAAACAAATATAAAAAGACTCTTAAAAGTAGAGAGAGGAAGGCAGACCAGCTAGGGAGCTTGGGACCCAAGGAATGACACAGCTGTGAGTTTCCTGGGTGTTCTTTTTGCCTCATACATCCTAGATTTGGAGCTGAAGAAGACAGCAACCCAGACAATGCCAACAAGCACAGACAAAAACAAAAAAGCCCCAATGAAAGCCTGTTATCTTTAGCCAAAGCACCGGGAAAAGGATAGCCAAGCAAGAAATAAAACTTTTGGATAACACCCACTAACTCCAGCAGAACACCACAGAAAAAGCTATGGCCCCACCACTACCCATGCCAGCAAAGGCCAAATTGGGAGCCTAGATTTCTACTCTTACCAGGCTATAATTAGGGACCCCAACTCCCCCACTGGGGTGGTGTCAGAGAAGGCCAAGTAGGGAGCAGGGACTTTTACCCTTGCCAGGCAGTAGCAAGCTCCCCTACCCTGCAGTGAGTGTCTGGGGAGACTGACTATGTGGTGAGTCTGAATTCTACCCCGACCTAGCAGTGAGGAGGCACCCTTTTCCCTTTCCACTGGGGGGTATCAGAGGAGGCCTAGTGGACAGTCAGGACTTTCACCACCACCCAGCACAATGAGACCACCCTCCACCTTGTGGTATCAGTGGAGGCCAAGTGGTAAGCAGGAATAAGGTACTCTTCGCCCTCTCAGCCAGGTGCTATAGTGGAGGCCTAATGGAGAGTAGGACCTCCATTTCACCAGCCAATATAAGGAGCCCTTACTTCCTTGGGTGCCCATGAAGGTTGAGTGGGGAACCTGGACTTCTAACTCACCTGGCAAAAATAAGGCAGCACCCCCACCCAACACTTCCCCTGCTGGAGTAGTATCAGAAGCAGCCAGCTAAGCAGAAGGGTTAAAAAAGATCTAGAGTCTTATAACATATACCCAAAATGATTGGTTTTCAATCTAAAATCACTCATCATACCAAGAACCAGGAAAATCTCAACTTGAATAAAAAAAGGCAATGATAGATGCCAGGATGAAGATGTTAGAATTATTTGACAAGCATTTTAGATCACCCATCATAAAAATGCTTTAAGCAATTATGAATATACTTGAAACAAATGAAAAAATAGAAAATATCAGAAAAGAAAGTCTCAGCAAAAAAATAGAAGATATAAAGAAGAACCAAAGGGAAATTTTAGAACTGAAAAATACAACAATCAGGCTGGGCATGGTGGCTCACATCCGTAATCCCAGCACTTTGGGAAGCTGAGTGGGGAGGATTGCTTGAGCCCAGAAGTTCAAGACCAGCCTGGGCAACATAGCAAGACCCTTATCTCTACAAAAAAATTTTTTTAAATTAGCTGGGCATGGTGGCGCATGCCTGTATTCGTAGCTACTCAGAAAGCTGAAGCAGGAAGATCAATTGGGCCCAGGGGTTGAAGGCTGTAGTGAGCTACGACCGTGGCACTGAACTTCAGCCTGGGTGACAGAGAAAGACCCTGTCTCGAAAACAAACAAACCTAAAGAAAAAAAAAGAAACCTCAATGGACAGTTCAACAGCAGAATGAAGGGGACAGAGAAAAGAATCAACGAACTTGAAGACAGAACAATTGAAATTGTTCAATCTGAACAACACAGAGAACACAGATTTTTAAAAAAATGAACAGAAACTGTGAGACTATAACAAAAGATCTAATATTTGTGTCATCAGATCCTAAAAGGAGAGGAGAATGAAGGCAGAGCTGAAAAGTACTTGAAAAAATAAAGATTATAAACCTCCCAAAAGACATAAACACATAGATCCAAGGAGCTGAGCAAGCTCCAAACAGGATAAACCTAAAGAAATCTATACCAAGACACATTATAATCAAACTTCTGAAAAGCGAAGACAGAAAAAAACCTTGAAAGCAGCAAGAAACACTATCTTACATATAGGGGAAAAGCAATTAGAACGATAGGCAAACATTCATCAGAAACCAGAGACCAGAAGGAAGTGGCACATCATTTCTCCAGTGCTGAAAGAAAAGAAATTTGAACCTGGAATCCTATACTCAGTGAAAATATCCTTCAGGAATGATGAGAAAATCAAGACATTCTAAGATGAAGGGAAACTAAGAATTTTTTTTTTTTTTTTTGACACAGAGTCTCACTCTGTTGCCCGGGCTAGAGTGCCGTGGCATTGGCCTAGCTCACAGCAACCTCAAACTCCTGGGCTCAAGCGATCCTCCTGCCTCAGCCTCCTGAGTAGCTGGGACTACAGGCATGCGCCACCATGCCCAGCTAATTTTTTCTATATATTTTTAGTTGTCCAGCCAATTTCTTTCTACTTTTAGTAGAGATGGGGTCTCGCTCTCGCTCAGACTGGTCTCGAACTCCTGAGCTCAAACAATCCACCCACCTCAGCCTCCCAGAGTGCTAGGATTACAGGCGTGGGCCACTGCACCCGGCCGGAAACTAAGAATTTATTGCCAGCAGATCTATGAGTCTTAAGCAATTTTTCAGCATCATAAAGCTCATTTTTCTTAGAAACTGTCTTAGAACCCAAGTGTCCCAGTACCTTCTTGCCCTTAGGATATCTGTGACTATGTGCCCTCCAAAGCAGATAAAGTAGTAACTTCTCCTGACTCAGAGTCAGACTTGGGTCCTCATCCCAGTCCTGCTGATAACTTGCTGTGTATGTGATGGTGACTGACATAGTCATTTCAGTTATCTAGGTCTCTGAGACCTCATCTATGAAAAAAGAAGACTTAGCTAAATATCAGTGGTTTTCAGACTTATTTTAACTGTGGACCTTTTCTCTTCTTTTTTTTTAATTTTTGCAAAATGCTGTTTATTTTGAGAATCTGGGTGCTGATGGGTGGAGGCTGAAAAAGGCATCCACCAAGTGGACCCTTCCTTGAAGTAAAATCTTACACAGAATCCCACATTATGAAACAGGAAAAAGTAGAGCTTCTCTGGCTGAAATGGGAATAGAGGGCTCACAGACTCATCAGTCTTCCTTCATCTTACAGGTAATTTCTGAGGCTCCTTTGAACAACTCCTAAAGTTTTGGAAAGAGAAGTTTGAAAACTACTAGGTTAGAAGATCTCCTGCAGGTCCCCCCTGTTCTAAGACCCCATTACTCTATAACAAAAGTACTATAAACAACAGAAAAACAAGACACAACCCATTACCTCAAAGGAGCTTAAAATCTAGGAAAAGAGATGTACTATAAGAATTGGTCAATCTGGCTGTCTGAGTAGCTTCTATGTGCATGAGACCACGCTAGGTGTGCTGTACCACTCTACTTCACTTCAGTTGAGGATTTTGGCTCTTGGATTTCTGTCATCTTCTTCACCCCAAGTCCTGCCATCAACCTGGAAGACTGTAAGGTCCATGGAGATCACCCACCAATGCCTTGGCATCACTTCCTCAGTCTCCTTATCTCCAACTACCTTCTCGCCTCTCCCATTATGCCAAATACTTGCGTGACCACACCATGGGTTGTATCATCAGCAACTGCTTCACTTCTGAAATACTAAAATTAGATATTTGGATTCCGGCATTTTCTTTTAACATAATTTGCTCCCAGTGCAATTGTAAGTGTCTTAAATTCCTTGTCTCTTTGTCTATCAGCTCCCTTTACTTGCTTTCTTATCCAGTATAGACTTTGGTTGGAATTCATTATTTCGATCACTGTCTAAATAAAAGGTCAACTGTCTCACCCCACTGTCCTTCCACTACTCTCACGTGGCAGAACCTCAGCCCCAGATAAACCCAACTGTCTCTTTGTGCCTATACTAAACTACTGAATGTTGCTAAAGAATATCACATATTCTCAAAGATAGATGCCATATAAGTTCAAGTTCTCTAGCCTGAACTTGGCCTTGAACACTACCTGCCCTCCGCAGTTAGCCTTCTCTTCCATTCTCCAATTGATTATTTCAAACCTTTTTTATTCTCTTATAAATTCTAATATTTCTATTCCATTCTCACTTTCAGCAGATGTCTTAACTTACCACTTCACAGAAATCACTGAACAAGTCTTTTGATTTCCTCTCAAATTAAAAACTCACTTGCATCTCTCTCCATCCTTTTTTTCTCCTTCCTGTTACAGTGGACACAGTGGCCCACCTCCTGGCTAAGGCTAATTCCTCTATGGACACCCTGAGTCCTTAGCCTGTCAGTTTTGGGACACTTTCCCATCAGCATTTAAGCATGCACAAATTTCCTCCTCCTCAGCTCCAAATTCTCTTCTCCCCTTCATAATGAAGCTTTTTGGGAAGTACTATCTCCACTCACCGTTTGCACTTCCTCCTCTCCCACTTGCTTCTCGCTTCACTCACATTCACCACTCCTGTGGGCTGGGATCTAGAAAGCAATCTGTCTTCTGGCCTTCTTTAGAACTACTCTTACTAAATTCTTCAACCACTTCCTTGCTAAATTCAGTAGTCGCTGTTTGTTCCTTAGTTTTACTTGACTTCTTGGCAGTACTTGACACTATCAACTACTCCTTTCTTTTTGGAACACACACTCCCCTGATTTTTCTTCTACTTTTCTGGCTGCCTTGTCTCAGTAACCTTTGAGTGGGGTGTATTCTTTTTGTTTCCTACAGTGAGGTTTTCCTTAGGTTTCTGCCTCAAGTGCTTTTGTCAAGCCATTTCACACAGGGCCATTTCATCCATTCACATGACTTCTCCTACCATCTACTTGTTGATGTTTCCCAAATTTACCCCCAGCATAGGCCTCTCTCCTAGCTCCAAATCCATATATTCAACTCTTTGTTGACCATCTCCACTTGGCTGTTCCAAAGGCACTTCAAAGTCAATGTGTCAAAAGCTAAAATCCTTTCCTTCCTCCCTCAAAAATGTTCCCTAACTCAGTGAATGACATCATCAAATCAGAAACTCGAGCTATTTCTAATCTCTTCCATATCCAAACCACTGGTTACTACACCTTCTTCCTCACTCCCTATATTCATTAATCCCTGTGTCCTGATATTCTTCTTCTTACCAATTCCATCCACTTTTCTCCATCCCCACAAACACCATCATCTCTCACCTATATTACAATCACAGTCTCCTGACTTATCTTGCTTCCTTCATTCTTGTGTCAACAATCTATTTTACACACAGCAGGCAGAGTGATTATTCTGAAGCACAAATCTGTGTTTGTCTCCCCCATGCTGCTAAACCCTGCAGTAGTTTCCCACTGTCCAAACTCCCCAATACAGGCATCCACGTCCCTTCATGATCGGGCCTCTGCCTATCTCTTCATTCTCATTATTCCCTTCCCCCTTCTTCTCTTCACACTCTATGCTATACATACACTGAGGTCACTTTCAGGACCTTAAACACATCATGCTTTCTCTTGCACGTGTCTTATCACTCCTGAAAATTATCTTCCCATCTTTTTGCTTGACCCTTGATTACTCATATTTCAGGATTCAATTTAAGTTTTCAGTTCTTTAAGAATATTTTCTGATTCATTAGCAAGGCCAGGGACCCTGCTTTGTGCTCCCATAGTATCCGGTACCGCCTTGTTTAACTATCTTGCTTAACATCAGACCATGTGGACCATGAGGATAGGAACTGAGTCTTATTTTGTATCCTTCGTATCTACCTATAGTACCTGGCACATAGTAGATACATAATGTGCTGTTGAATGTGATTGTGTTATGGACCTGAGACAAGTGGAGGCTGTGAAGGAGGGCACAGGAGATAAGCAAGCAGGAAAACATTATGAGAAAAGGAAAGAAAGAGGCATATGGCAGATACAAAAACTTCTCACAGTCCTAGCTATGGAAAGCAGACTGGACCAAGCCATGGAAACAGGTGGCAGCAAGGAGCTCTTTAGAGGGAAGCCCAGTATCTTTCTCAGGGCAAGGTTCCCCACCTCTAGATGAATTAAAGCCACAGCCTTGCTCTCTGTGGCAAGCATCCCTGCCAATTACCCAAAATCAGCTGGGTAGATATTTGTTGACTTTGATCATTAATGTCAACTTCTTCTGGGAAGAGCTTTCAGAATGACCATTTCATCTCCATCACCACTTACTCAATCTAGGCCACTGTCTCTTCATATGTCAATTGTATATGGATTAATTGATCTGTCTTCCATCTCCAACTCATCTGATACAGACATACCAGAACAATCTCCCTCAAAAACCCTGTAAGGTACTGTTGCAGCACGCAAGAACTAGATTTTCTTTTTCTCTACAGCAAATCTAAACACCGTGACCTAGCTTCTTGGCTATCTGCTCTTGTGACCACTATCATACCCCTTCCCACCATCTCTCCAATATGCTCTTCTCACTTCTGCAACCAGGTTTCACGATTGTGAACCCTGGACTCAAAGCTTACTCTACAGTTAAAAGCAACTTTTAAGAGGGCATAAGATGCAGGCCGGGCACGGTGGCTCACGCCTGTAATCCTAGCACTCTGGGAGGCCGAGGCA